CCTAAAAAATCCACTGCGCAGTCTCAAAGGGTTAATGACCTTTCCCAAATCTTCGCTCGCGAAGACTGGCCATACATGACTTCCCACACACGTATGTAAGGGGAAGAATAAGTTACACGGCATCTGCAGTAGAAGGTGAACTTTTATCACTTGTCTGTAAAATCCAAGCCTGTCATTTTGAACTTTCTTAGTTCCTACAGAGTGCATGATTTGCATCATACATTTTTATGCTACCAGCTGTATAATTTAAAATCAAGGTGAAATTGTGGGTTTTCCTAACATTCTTCTCCATTCTATCAAACCTTTAAGCAAGTTCTTATCTAATAAATGAACAGGTTCCATTTAAACCAATAGGATTGTTTTTAAGCTTCAAGTAACAAACCAGCATTTTACTATACACAATTTTACAGCAATCACCAGACAAAGTGTCTGCTTCTGACAGATCAGGTCATATTCACAGGCTACATATAGTGTGGAGGAAGCTATTTCTTCATGGAACACAAAAGAGGACCCAAATTTACATGATCTTAGAGATAGCAAAGAAGAAACCAAAAACCAAAACGTGGTTTTGTTCCCCCAAAGATTGCACCTGTTTGAGCTATTTGGTTTTTTATTGTACTTCAAGCACTTCCCAATCGTTGAAAATGCAAAGATGGGATAAATTGTAAATTATTCCCTGTTCAGGATACACCTTGCTTTTAATCTTTGCCAAAGGTGTGAAAACTTTGTATGAAATCGAAGCGAATCCAAGTGAATATATAAACACCCAGACATTACTTCTGCATGTGGAAATCTGTAGGAAAGGAAGTGTTGAGTTTCAGCATTATCTACAGGCTCTGCAGTGTCACACCAGCAGGGAATGCAAGTCTAAAGAAGAAGAAGAGAGTTGAGTTGTTCTCCTTTTCTTCAGTATGTCACACAAACCTGAGGTCTCATTCTCCTCAAGCCTCTATCTTCTTGTTCAGTTTGTTGTAGTTCCCTTGACTTCCTAATTATTCCATCTTAATCTTTTTGTTACAGAGTGAGCAAGATCTGGTTTTGTGGGCAGTGAATGGTTCAAGGCTGTTGTTCAAACCAGATTCACGTTCCATGTAAAGCAAAACTGTGCGTTCCAAATGTTTCTACTAAAAAGTTAACCACAGAAAGCAGGGCAATCTTTTCTCTCAAGTGGAAATGGAAAAGAAAAAGAAGGACCCAAACAAATTACAAACCCGACTCAAAACCAATTACCCCACCCACACGCCTCTTTTAAAAATTAATATTGAATATACTTCTACAAAGATATGACAGAGTTCACATACTGGAGCTGTGCTTTGCACACAAGCACTGGTTAAAGCTCTATGGCTCAGATTTAGAGTGTTTCAGACTAGCTATTACAATGGTCCTTTTCAGACATAAAAGAATTCATGCACAAATTACCTATAACTTTCCCCTTTTATTGTGACATCATTATCCAACCTGGGACATAGGTTTTCTGCAGATGGAATATCTTGAGTCAGCTGCTAGAGGGTATATGTCTCTAGCTATTTGGATTCCTCTTGTTATCTCACATGTTTGGAAAGGTATTAAATTAAATATATATATTTGCATCTTTGAAGCAGTGCCATCATTTTACAGATAAGACACAGTTTGTTCTGCTGTCTGTGTTCCCTGTTTTAATCTCTAGACTGCAAGATTTTTCAGAGCAGTCCCTGTCAGTAATATTGATGGGAAATTAAACCAACCAGCATTCCTTGGCTAGAGTAGCAAATTAAAAAAATCCTTCTGAAAGGCCCACATATACACCTGAACGCACAGAAAATTCTCTTGTTTTTCTTTTTTACAGTCACATCTCATGCATAATGTTAAGCTACAGAGGTACTGGCCACAGAGTAATGTCCTGGAAATCAGTTAATAGCACAGAATTATTTGCTGAACCCCAAATTCTATTTCTGGTTTGTCAAAATTCAAACCTGACTTCTATTTCCCAGTATATTTTTTGTCAATTTATGAAATTCATGGTGAAAATATAATCATGGTTTTAGTCTTACAAAATATAAATAAACAAACGACACCACTTCTACAACTTCATTTCAATTAATAAATCCAGAAGGAAAATATTATTTCATTCTTTATATAATACAGTGGATTTTTTTTTCTCTTAGTGTCAGGATGAAGTTCTAGGAAAAGAATAAGAAAGTTGTGCTCATACTGGAGTCTTCTCCTTACTCTTACTTTTTACCCTGAAAAACCCTTCAGGAGCATTATGCAGAATCCTGAATCAAGATTCATCTTTGATTCTTTGCTGGGAAAGATAAGAGCACCATTTTCTTTCTATGTGGACTGTGTCACCTTTCCTACCTTTTATTATTACTTGCCTAATTTGCACACATACATGAAGGCAGAAACCGCAATCACAGCCTTTTTGTGCCAGGTCTTTTACAAACACAATGGAAATGTCTCTCTCTGCAAAGTTCCTGCAACTTTTTTTATAGTAAACGGACAGAAATAGGTGTGATTCAACTCATCTGAAAATAGATATGTTAAATTACTCCCTCAGATTACCTGTTTCTCTCCTCTGGCTATAAAGGGAGACTGGTTGATTAGCTTAGGTGGAGACACTCACAGAATAGATATCAGCAGTTAGATAAGATTATTTTTACCCTTAGCCACAGATTTCCAAGGCTTCTTCCATCTCACAGCCATAACTCAGGTTACAGATGATTTATTACCTGCCCTTCGAATATAGTCTAACACAAGACAACTATTTCCTGCTAGTATAGAAATCTTGGTGAAATAAGGTTTGTTAGAAAGCTTATATATAAATCATGCAAGGTACCCTTCCCAGGGAAGAACCACTATTATCTGTAGCTGGTAAGAATATATATTTATATATGTTTTAACTAATGAATATTATCTTCTCTCTTAGCAACTGTCATCTAAAGTGCCATCTATAGATCTCAGGATTTTTAAATCCTAATTTTTTAAGATCTTTTACATCCCATAGTCACTAGAACATCCTGACCACCAATATTCTCAAGAAACCATCAATCCCTCCAGCATGTCTGTAATGATTTGGTAAGCAGAACACTGGGCCATGATTCACATGAT